CTCGGATGTAGCGATCCATCTTGACTTGAAGACACGTGACGGGTTCAAGGGAAACACCAGTGATGTCAGTTTTTCAAAATTTCAATATTATCTCCATTGTGGCTCCATTCCATTTAATAGAATAATATGACACATGGGTCCAACCGAAAAAGCAGCGTAGTCAATAAACAAATACGTAGACATCTTGATATTTTTATACTTTTATGAGGAATTTTCAAACTTTTAATTCAATTTTCTCAAAACTCTCAAAACCTGACATCACTGGTTTTTCCCCTTGAGCCCTTCAATGTAGAAAATTGATTTAGGTCGTGAAAATAAGATGCCAATAATGTGCGGAAATCAATAAAGGGCATTAATTTTGGGCGTAAAAATAATGTGCTGTATGAGCAATAGTTAACGTATCCAATTGACCTTTGTTTAATACTAACTTTGCTAAATTGTTATCATTAACTATATTGTATATCTTTTGAATAAACTCAATTTACATCGGCCTTTCATAATTGTTCAAACGTGGATGCTATTAAATCTTGTTATGACGAGGTAATTTGGTCCATCGGGCAACCTAAACAGATGACGTTAAAAAAACTGGTCGCCTAGTCTAAGATGATTTTTTTTTTCAATCTGTCTGTGACCAACCCAGTTCACTTACAACTTGAAGATCCCAAATGAGCCGGAGACGCACGACGTCATGAACTCACAGAGTCGCTCTAACAACAGAGACCTTGAATCGTTGACAATGGCGTTGTGATTTTTACGTCTACCAAACCTGACTTTATTAACGAAGCTTTCATCTTTATGACAACGCCGCCAGCAAGGCAGCAAAAGAGTGGCGAGTTTCCTTCTTTGTTGTCCACTTACCTCGAGAATGATGTCAATATGAAACGTTAATGAATCATTACGTCATAGCATCTCCCATGAATTGAGTTCAACATTTCTAATAATCCTTTACGTACTTGCAAAAGAAAAGATATTGACACAGCTTGTAAATGTTGCATTTTAATTAAAAGGGTGCCACGTTCTAATGGGGTTTATCGAGACATACAAACACACACACACACACACACACACACACACACACATATATATATATATATATATATATATATATGTGTGTGTGTGTGTGTTTATAGAGACACACAAACACACACACACACACACACACACACACACACACATATATATATATATATATATATATATGTGTGTGTGTGTGTGTGTGTGTTAGATTTAATCAGCGCTTATTTCCGCAATATATATATATATATAATATATTGTCCGCAACACATACACACACACATATATATATATATATATATATATATATATATATAAAGGATATACATAAAGTTTAGTTCACCGTCTTATTTTCAAATGCTTTCTTCTCATTAAAAATTTTATAATTGCAAATTTTAATTACGCCGATACAGTACCCATTTATTATAAGTCACGAAGATGTCTCTACAACACCCTCGTTTCAAATGACAACTTGCCAGTCCTTCAGGGCCTTGTATGATCATTATGAACAAAGGCACGAAAATAATATACAACTTCAAAACAATGAATAGTCAATGAGAAAGCTGCCGCTAGAAAGCTTATTAAATAATCACAGCTCTACAGGAGACGTGTATACAATAGCAATACAATCTAACTCGGCGGTTCTCAAAGAAAATCTCTTCAAACCCGCTTTTGGAGAAATTAACGAATCCATGACCCCCTCCGTTTTTTTCTCTTTTCCCTTAGTACATATGATAAACCAAGAACGGAGCAACGTAACATTTGCTTTAAATAAAAATAGAACTCATTCTTATCCTTTGAATTACTTCAGTTAAAATTATTAGCTTAATCCAACAACACCATTATGTCTTCAACTATGATAAATCGTAAGAAAGTTTGATATGTTGCTGTTGTTAAAATCAACTAACGTCGTCAGTTGTCGAATATGGCTAAATATTTATATTGGCTTGTAAAAATGTCACAATCTTTTCAATTTTTAACAGTCATCTTTAATAAATACATATAAAATTCAGGAATATTAAAATTTTAAAGAATGTTTTTTCTTGTTTTTTGTTGTTGTTTTTTTGTTTTTTTTGTGTGCTTTTGACCCCAAACTTCCGACGATCACTTTTCCGGTGACCAAATTTTCTTTTAAACAAAATTCCGGTAACCAAAGGTATGTTATTAAAAACAACATATATTTTGTTCTTATTTTAAACACTCTTCTGTTTGCGAACATACCTAAAAGTTACAATCACAACATCATGGTAGGCTTACTATAACTGCTTATGATAAAGTTGGTCTTAACACAATACGTATTATTCCATGATGCATTTAGTAATTCTCGCTTGGGGTAGATTTGCCCTTTGATGCAGTAACGCAAACAGACGTTCAAAGAGCATCATCAATAAATATTCCCCGTAGGCGACTGTTCACATTCTACCATGATTAAATCTATTTTTAAAAAAATCTCATGAAATATAGCTCTGCTGGGAAGTTTTCTACTGCAGGAGATGCAAAGTTTTGATAGTATTTGTGGTTGAAGACTTGTTCTTTGATGACAATAGGACGTCGATATAAATGAGATCTCAGTTTGTTTTTAGAGAGCTAATAAATGAATTGATTCAAAACGCTGAGCTTAACGCAAAGGTCTTAAATTTTATTTTTGTCGCCACCACCCCTCCCCCACCCCCCCCCCCACTACATCNTATCAAACAGGAGACAAAGTCTGGAGGTAAACATGAAATGTAGGTGATTGGTGAGACTATTGGGACACACTTGGAATTGCTTAGTACCTTTCTAGCTTAAGTTCAGGACACTGGATAAAAAAGGAGATTGACACATAGATTAGTAATAAGAGAAAAAAAAATCGGACAGTGATTTAATTAAGAATTTAAAGTGATTAAAAGGCAAATACATAGCGAGAGACGTAAAAAAAGAGAATGAGAGAAAGAGAGAGAGGGAGAGAGAGATAAACACAGAGAGACTGAGAAATAAAGAGAGAATGGAGTATCAGAAAGTTCGAAGCAAAGTGTTCTGAATTGGAGGCGAGGTACGGTGCAGCAAAAACAAGTTAAGAAACTCCCCCCTCCCCCAACCACTCTTATGGTGCTATAATAATGTTGAATAGGGTCAATTGGCAAGTTAGCATCTCGGTCGGCACATTTGAGGTGTTGTCTTTCATTATTTTAGACGCCCTCATTGAACTGCAAATTATGTGACCGGCGTTTCTTTTGTGATTTCATTTTTCTCCTCGGAACCAGCCCTTGTTGATAGTTTATTGATTACCAGCTGAATACGCGTGTGGGTAATTGTGATTTGGTGACAGTTGATCAATATCTCGTTGAAAGACCCTCAGGTGGATGCCACGTTAAGAATTCTGTAGACGATTTAGTTGCACGGTGAAAAAAATTTTAAGCGACCACAAAATAGATATGTTACACGTTATGGTGATGTGGATGTCCAAAAAAAAAAAAAAAAGTATGGAGATGTAGGTGTTACGACCATCTTTGAAATCACTGTGCAACATTTCGGGTAGCAAAGTGCAACATCACAGCTCACGGTAAGTTTTAACGCTGGCGTAATGTTTCTTCTTGTAGAGACACCAAGGAGAAAACGGTTTTCTGAAAATGCAATTTCGGGTTCTTACACATTCTTGACTAAAACTAAAAGTAGATACTCATAAGTCTCAGACAAATGTTTCTTAATCATAGCCAACAAGTGGTCACATAAATTGTCATAATTTATCATAAAATAACTTAAAGATTGTCTATAGATATAAATAAAATTGTAAAAATATTATGCGAGAGAGGATTATTTTTTTACTGCAGAATTTTAAAAAGATTTTTATTTATTTTAAAGTCAAATACTTTCCCTCATTACGCGAGCTACAATTTTGATTTGGTGCAACGTTTCTTTCGTTGTATTTAGCAGAACGTGCGAGGAAACGAGTTTGAAAATTTTCAGATTCGTCTAAAAGTCTCGTTAACATTTCGGCTTCCGTTTTGGGCCGAAAATATTGGTAAGTTTTTGGTTTCGGCTTTTATTATTTTTTTTAAGGAAGTGTTTTCTAACTCTTCGTTCAGCATTGTTTGACTTAGAGCTTGTGAAAGCGACTAACATTTGGTTTTCTTTATTTTATTGGCCAAAAAAAAAAAAAGAACTATAAGGCAGCGCATGTTTCTCAAACCTTCACAATTTTCAAGACATGGCGTCCGGAATTTTCAATTAGTGAAGTAGTGTGCAAGAATATACTAGCGAGCTCCCTCGGCTGTTAACAAATCTAGATGATCCCTTATTAAGTCAATATTGTCATTAAGGTAGTACATTCATGTCTGGTAGCTACGCTACAGCAATACTTTAGATGCATTGTGTCTAAAGCTGTTCTTGTTGTCAGATTTCATTTTGGTTAGAAAGTGTATATATTTATGTCTAAACATAAATTTAAAAAATTTATTTCCATCTAATGTGATCCATAAAAAAAACAACTTTATCTTATCATATTGATTGTATCGGATTTAATTTTATTCATGAATTGTGAACATGTGATCAAATTTTGCTTGCCCGTTGATAATTAATATTCATCTAAACTATACGATTGAAAACTGAGATAAGAAAAGGTTGTTTTTTTAAGTAGGCTATTTATAAACAAGAGTAGAGGAGATATTTTAGACATGACACAATTTAAAAGTCAACAACTGTTTTTGTCCATTTATTTCAATATAAATATATTTTATTCATTATCAATTCAATCTTTATGACGGCAGCATGGAGATTTTAACAAAATAAAATATTCCATTAAAGGCGCGGGAACATTATGGTAGACAGAACACCAATGAACAAACCATAAGCGTAAACCCCAGCATTGCACTAGACTAATACTAGAATGTTTACATTTCATATATTTGGGTCAATTGAACCATTTTTAATATACATACATTAATGCAAGTTTAATAATAAAACCAGGAAATATCCAGAGTTGTAGCTTTTTAAATCCATCTGTTCTCCAACCAATCGGTCAACAACGCCGTGGCATCTGGACAGAAATTTTGCAATTACTTTCCAGATGTACTGACTTATTTTTTTTTTGTCACTTCTGGTATTGTTTTTGGGCTGACAATCAATTTTGTATTTACATGTTCAATATAATTTAATACCAATCTATAATCATTGTTTTTGTATAGCTACAGTCTACCTTATATACTGTTGAGTAATCGAACAGAATGTACTCTTGTAAATCTCTACTATTTGAACAGAAATACGGTTAATATATCAAATGTTATTATAACGAAGTGGTAATTACGTATAGTTTGATAACACATCAGCAAACATTGATAATTTTATGTCCTCCTTATTTGATCATAAAACACGAAAATTGAATCCTGATCAAATCAATGGGTCCCATCACCTTAGTTTCCAATTGCAGAAATAGCTTATTTCCTGCTTTTAATTCCACAATACATGGGACACAACTGTTGTCCGATACACAGCAGAGTTGACTTGAATGTTCCAATTTAAATTCTTCATATTTCACATATTGAAAACATTTAATAGTGCATGATCCTTTTGTTATTCCATTTATAACAACGCTTATTAAATAAAAACCATTTAGTGGTACAGTGAATTTTCCTGACGACTGATCAAAGTGGCTTCCATAGTTAGTTGAAACATCAGTAAACTTGTCCACATTAATGCATCCATGTCTGGCATCTACTATTTTCCAGGCGTTGAATAATAGAGTTTGTTGGTTGAATTTATTTTCTGTAAACCAAATAAAAATAGAAAACATTTCAGAAAGAAACAAAATCCAAATCAGTAAATTAACTTAGTGAGATGCGCAATGGGAGAATCGTGTGTACACTATAACATTGTACACTATAACAGAGTGCAGAGCGTAATTTGTTTCCATGATCACTTTATTATTTTTTTATTAATAAATCTTGATATCAAATCCTATAAGGTCGTATTCACAGCTTTGTGTATACATTCTCTGAGTTTGAAGGAATTAATCATTTATTTAACTTCATCATATTGATCAAATCTCAATTCAACAAAGCATCGTGAGCTTTCAATAAAAAATTGCAAAATGATTTTTTTTAAAGCAGTTATGAATAATAGGGACTATTTTAATCTTTGCATGAAGTTTAAAATAAAAAGAAACAATGTGTCTTTTATAACAGATTTATTGTTAGCTTTAAAGGATTTTTTCCCCATTTAACTGATATGTGTCAAATAAACGTACCAATATGTTTAACTTTAACGGATATTTCCGCCAATTGCGTATCAATAGATTTTACCTGCAAAAGTAAAGAAAGTAACAAAAGTTAAACCTCATTTTCCATTCATCCTGGTGCATTACGTGTTGGCTTTGTTCTATGTTTCCTTTTAACTTTCTTAAAGTTAGATCTAATCTACTCTAATCTAAAAGATCAATTATACCCAAAAATACATATTTCAGAAAATTGCAATATCAACACAACAGGTTTCAAAATATTAAAAGACAAAAGCAGTTCTAAAATCTAAAATGAGATCAATAATCAAGATTGCAAAGTTCTTCGTGAGTAATGAGATACGGTACTTAATGATATTAATCCTGTTATTTTTTCCTGAATGAAATTAAATTTATGCTAAGCACTATGTCAAGAATATTGATACATTTTTGAAAGCAGTCATCCATGTTATGACAAATTAAACTACATGAACTCTAAACCCGCTATCACTAAGTAATTTGAAATACGAACTATTCATTTTATTAAAATGATTTTCCCACCAAACACAATTTCTCCAAAAGTTGAACACAAAAAAAAACAAAAAAAACAACGAAACAAAAACAACTAAACGCACCAGGGACTTTTTTAAAATCTTACTTCTTCCCCAACTCACTGTTTATAGACATTTTTCCTTGGCATACCTAAAGTAATAATGGTTTATTATAAACCATTCATCCCCGAATTCTTCCATCACATTACAGCTACGGTAATAAAATAAATCATTATCAAACGAGAATTTGATACAAATAATGCAAATCAGAAAATGCTGTTATCAAAATTATAAATTTATTTTAGCAAATTAGACCCAAACAAATGATACTTATGACTGATTGTTGTTTCAATTGCTTTTATTCTCAGTCCATGAGAGAGTGTTCAAAATTGTCTTTGCAATTGTAATAAAACTATTATAGCTTTAGATAACTTCACTGTAAGGAAATGACTTTGTTTCTTCATAATTTGAATATTTAAATTTAAGCTAATCAATAAACCTTTCTAAATTGTATTTCTTAATGTGTGGATAATTGAGTAATGAATTTCAAAAGAGACGCTTAGTGAATACTCTGAAAATATAATATGTCTTTCTTGCTTACACTTGCTATATTAGTATTGTTAGGCCCCCCTATGTGTTCAATGAATGTGAACAAGCTCGTGGTCTAGGGGTTTTGAAAAGACGGCTAACACAGGTAGATTTTAGACACACTATTGGCTAAAATAAAGACAATCAGTGCACTATATAAATGTACTTTATTACATGAACTACTATGTGAACAAAGATACATGAAATCTACATATAAAGTAACGAATACAATTCTAACTATCTAAATCTGACACTGATAATAAAACACGCAATACTATCACTAGTCTAACTTCCTGGAATTAATATTTCTGCTAAATATTAAATGGCCCTAATCTAGTATTAAGCAATTGCATGGGACGGCTGACCACCTATCTCTCTGTCCTCCTCATTTGGTCTACCCCTCTAGGGGCGATGCGTCCGGGCGATGCGTCCAGTCTAATAGCATATTCATTTCGCGTGCTTGACCATTTAATAGGTCACGGTCAGCTTAAATCAAGGTTGGTGGTGGCCGTGATCAGTTACAGACGTCGTGCTTCCTGGCTGTGTTAATCTGACACGGTCAGTCTAATAGAGTACCTAAACAAAAGGGGCCAGGCACGTAACAGTATGCAATAAAGTTTTTATAATAGTGCGCAACTGTCTATTCTGAACATGCAACGCTGTTTCAAGTATTAATAATTTTAGAATTTGATCTCGACACACAAATGATGAATTGTGTATTAATTTTTTTTTTAAAGTTTTGTTTACAGAATACTGAATACTGTGTAATTTTAATCTCCATGACTATAAAAAAGGAGATGTTGACAAACAAAGCAGCCTAATGTAAGACATAATATTTAAATAATAACCCATTATACACAGGGTAATAAATCTAATTGAAAGTACAGTCATACCTTTGAAATATGTTCTTTGCTCAAGATGACTTTCTTGTTTAAAGTATCATTTAATGTTTCCAAAGGAGCCAGTCGTTTAGACATCAGTTGACAAACCATACCAATCTATGAAAAAGGCAAACATCATATCTAAATAAATGGTGTATATTAAAAAAAAAACTCTCTTTAATTTTATGTACCACTCAATTATTAATTTAATATTTAAAAGAAATATATATAAAAACAATCTCTTTTATAAAAATTGAATGAAAACTTTCATAATTCGCTAAGCACTTTCAAGAATTGTATAATAATAATAATAAAGATTTATTTGAAAATCACGCTTCATCTCCATAGGCTCGAAGCGCGGTACAAAGTCATCCATATAAAAAGAGAAATGAAAAAATCTATATTTTACACATTGAAATACAAAACGCAATATTACACAAACTACATACGAGAATACCCTTTCTAAGTCTTTCATCCCTTGCAAAGCATGAACAACACATGTCACTATACATCTAGGAGATAATAGCTAGCTGGAAAATATGGTAGAAAACATCACTCCAACAGGTGTTTGTGAAATAAATATGTTTTCAAATCGGTTTTGACAGACTCCAGTGTCTGGCTGTTTCTGTGAGTGACAGGAAGTGTGTTCCAAATTGTTGGGGCCAGCAAATGCGAACGTGCGCCTCCCCCGAAAGTTTCAAAGCGAACACGTGGTATAGAGAGTTTGCCACTATCGGATGAGCGGAGTTGTCTAAGTGGGTACATAAGGCGTAAGGATCACTTTGCGATAGGACAGTGCCAGGTCATGCAAGCAGTGCTAGCACAGAGTTGCAGTTTTGTACTCTATGCGAGCGCGGACCGGCAGCCAATTCAATTCTCTCAGAAGTGGTTTAGCATGGTCAAATTTTCGTTTGTCAAAAACAATGCGAGCCAAATTATTCTGTACTTTTAAAAAAAATTTCCAGGAGCGTAGCAGGAAAACCCACATTGAGAGCATCACAGTAGTCCATGCGTGATAGCAAGAATGCATCAAACGTTAAGAAAGGTCTGATATGACTAATTCTGCGCAGCTCTAGAAAAATCGCCTTGCAAGGCATGTTAATGTGATTTTCCGTAGAGTGTGTTCTGTCTAAGTAGACACCCAGGTTTGCACTGTTTGAGCAAATTCAATCTGTATACCTGAGAGAGAAAGGGGTGGTGTGTTATTTACAGATTTTAGCTTTTGAGCGGTAGCAATGGGGATCAGCTCGATCTTTTCATCGTTCAATTTGAGCTTTGTTATGGTCATCCAGTGCTTAACTGACTCCACTGTCTTCTGTGTCATACTAAGAAGCTGAGGGGAACTAATAAAGGATCACGGATTGCTGAAGTTGGGTATCATCCGCGAACATGTGATAGAGCATATAAACTGCTTAATCACTGCACCCAGGGGCTGAACGTACATAGTGAAAAGCACCGGGCCTAGGACCGAGCCCTGTGGTACTCCAAATTCTAAAAAATTCGATAATAGATAATAGATATAGATAATAATATAACTTTTTAATAAAAATATTATTTAGAGCGTCTGGCAGCTCGCCTACGGAAATGTTATTTGACAAAGATGTGTCCTTCTGTTTACCGGTCAGCTGTGTATGTTAAATCGTAAAGAAAGTCATTTGGATTACCGGTACTGATATCGTTGATATACAAGAAACGTATTGGGGATAAGAATAACTCTTACCAAATTGTCAACTTTATCCTTATTAAGATAGCTTATACTCTCAAATTGCTCCGTGCACTGAGATGACATGAGATTCATGGAGATTTCCAGTTGATTCATCTTATCAGACATTTCATTATAATGTTGATTTGTATTCTCGACGCTCTTTGACAAATCTTGTATAGACATAAGGGCGTCATTGCTACGAGTTTTAACAGAGCTGATCTGTTTATTCAGTTCATTTATTGAAATATTAGCATAAGTATTTTCCTCTTCTATTCTTCTTAACTTCAAATCAACATTTGATTTTGTTTCAAACAATTCATCAACATATGAAGACATTTCTTTGCTTTTTTTCTCAAGTAGTGTAAGTCTTTCTTGAATTTTTGTCTTTGATTTTAAATTTGCGTTTTTTAATGTTTCCAGTGTTTTGTTGACACCGTCTTGTTTTTCTTGAACTTGTTCTGTTGTCTTGATAATTGAGAATACAGCTTCCTCAAGTATGGCAAATCTAGTAGTGGTAATATAAGAAGTATCTAAACCTGTATTGAAATATAAATTTCAATATATTGAATTTAGATTTAGTCATATAATTCAAAAGGTGGGGATTTAATGATAAATCTCAAAAATGGCCTTATATTTATGTTTCTTATTGGGATTGAGTCCAATATAATTTTCAAATATTTTCTTTACAACAACGATATTCATCTTCTGTTGACATTCGTGTTTGTATTTTGATTGATATAATTAGAAATTTAACAATTAATTGATAAAAATATCAATCCAATGGAATACATTTGAATAAAGACACATTTACAATTATTTAGAAAAGAAATATTTTTAACAAAATTTTTCACCTGATTTATTTAATGTTTCTTCTCTACTAAACATTGAACTCTCTTGAGCTTCTTCCTTTGTGTAACTGGTTTTGGGCATTGTCGAATTATTGCTGTTCGCCGAGGACGTTGGATCACTTTCATTTTCGTTAATCTCTAGCTCTGAATATGTCAAAAATTGTAGTACGGTAATAAAACATAAAATACTTTTTTTATTTGCTTGTGTTTATTGCAGAAATAAACATTTTATGATATCAAACCTTTTGATAGCATTTTTTAAATATATTATTAAATACATACGTTTTTTTAGGAAAGATTATTAAATTTTATTTCTTCAAGTCCATTCCATTGCAGTTGATAACAAACTTGTAAAATTACATTAGCTTTAAAAAATAATAATTAAAATCAGTGTTGCCTATATTATGATTATTTATGTTTATTTATGTATACAAATTTAAGAAATACATATTGGCATTTTATAGTTAAATAAATACCTGAAATTTCAACAGACTTAGCCATAAACAATGCAATGAATTGCGTAATTCTGTTGTTCATTTGGGCAAATGTAGTCTGATTGACAAGACCTCCATTAACCCAGGCATCTACTTCACTTTGTACCTATGCATGAGATACAAGATGACAATTGCATTTACATTTTATAGAATTGTTTTATGAAAGCTTTATATTAAATGACTAACATCAATAATTCTAGATCAATAACGCAATTTTAAATCAACATGTATTTATTTTTTTGTAAAAGGTTTCATTTTTTTTTAGATTTAATGTGTGCTGCAATAATTTATCTTTGAATAATTAAAGACAAAACATAGTTACCAGATTTGCAGCTTCGTCTACAGCCTCTAGTAAAGTTTTCCTCTCTCCCTTGAGTGTATCAATTTGTTGATGTATAAAGCTTATAAATCTCTGAGCTTGTGTCTTGCTGGCCATTTTGGATACCTATAGATGTTAATTAATATACGTACACGTTAAATATGGACTGTAGACTATAGCCAAGATGTTCTTATACTTATATGCAATCATGCATATATATATATTATAAAAGACATTGGTTTGAAAGTGGGAGTGAAATAATTGACTTGCAATGGGTTAACAATATTGCACCTGCTGCAAATGAATCATGGTTTTAATGAGGTTTTTTTCTTCTTTTTTTTTTTTAGCTTACTATGTTTTATAGAATAAGTCAAAGCCTATGTTATTAATATTTCCAGAAACAAACGTACTTATATTATTTAAAAAGAAACAAATTAGAAAGAAAATCTATGACATTTTCAAAAAATATCTATCATATTCATATATATCTAGATCAGCCTACCGACCTTATGATTATGGTGTCAACAATTTCGGAAAATTTGTTTTCTATTAAAAAGATCGATGGGGTTTTTAAAATTAAAATAAAATTTAAAAGAAAAATTAGATAAATTAAACGATTAGAAATACCTGCAATAAAATGTATGTGGAATGTCACTCTGAAGCAGCTTGACAATCTTACTCACACAGACAAAAATCGGGAATTTTATTTGTTATCGGAAATTCCAGGGGTGGTGAGTCAACTTTCTTACATTATCCCATGAGAAGTAACTTTCAATCGAAATATTTTAAACTTAATTATTATTAGATGTTTGGGAGATTGGATCCACACACAAAAAAAAGGGGGGGGGAGGGGGCGTCTAGAAAGGAAAAAGAAAATATTTTTTTTTTGTTTATTTTCATGCTATCGTATAATTCTACTATAATGCAGATATAGATATTATTTGCACTTCAATGTCAATGATTCAATGCATTTATTGTCACATTTTGTTGCTGAAAAATAGAAAACTAACTAGGCATTAAAAAAAGGACTCATTTAAAAACAAAATTTAATTGGAGTTTTATGACGTCATTTTATTAAAGTGATAAATTCATGCCTTCATGGCCACGTTACATCAAAACCACTATTTTTTACTGCCGAAATCTTCCTGAACTTTATAAACTTTCCCTCATAAACCTCTTTAATTTTAAAATATTTAGCCTAAATATAACAGTTTTCAGCTGATGATATTTACTTTTAGCCATATAGGTGACTATGATTTTTTTTTTTAAACATGGTAATGGTAACTCTTGTCTTTCCTTGTAGAAATCCACTTAGAATACTTAAACTCATTATTTTAAATTTCTTACGTGGCAAGAATTTTGTAATGTTAATATTGATGCTATCCTAACAAACAAAGTCTCTTTTAATGTTATTGTTTTGTTCACCATTCCCGATAATCCCAATCCCATGCCACACGACCACAATAGACTCAAATAAATAACGATAGAGTGCCACCTACATCCAGTATGAATATTCAAAATAGCTGGTGCATGCCAAATTTAAAAAAAAAAAAAAGCTCGCTTTTCCAAAACAAATGGGCAAACATCCAATTCAGGTTTAGTATCGACTCATAAGTTTAGTGTGTTGGCGCTAATTACTTATGGTATCTATATAATAAAAAGGAATTTTATTATATATAGCTACCTGCATTTGTTTAAAGTTGAAGACAAGAGAGAGGGAGAGAGAGAACGAAAGAAAGAAAGAAAGAAAGAAAGAAAGAAAGAAAGAAAGAAAGAAAGAAAGAAAGAAAGAAAGAAAGAAAGAAAGAAAGAAAGAAAGACAGAAAGAAAGAAATACGGAAAGAAAAAAAGAAAGAAAGAAATACAGGAAGAAAGGAAGAAAGAAAGAAAGAAAGAAATACAGGAAGAAAGGAAGAAAGAAAGAAAGAAAGGAAGAAAGAAAGAAAGGAAGGAAGAAAGAAAGAAAGAAAGAAAGGAAGGAAGAAAGGAAGAAAGGAAGAAAAGAGATGTTTAGTGAGATAGAGAGAAGAAGAGAGAACGCGAGAGGTAAGCTGTGAGAGGGACAGAGAAAGAAAGAGAGCGAGAGAGTATCTCTAAGTATTTCTAAGAGGGAGCAAGATAAAGAGTAAAATGTTTAAAGGGAGAGAGAGAGAGAAAGAGGGAGACAAAGAGAAAGCATCTCGGTGGGCGGGGAAATTATTTTCGTTTTAAGTTGATGCGTGAAGCATTTCATTTCAGTTAGATAAAATTACTAGTGTAACGAATTTTTAGTTCACTACTATGGCTTCTTATGGGATCTTTATTTTAGTATGTTTACTAGTTTAATTTAAAATGGCCAGTGCTCAAGGTGCTAGACAAGTTTCTTAGATATGTATTTGATTTATTATTCGTAGTCAGTAGGTTGAGCAATTTTTTTTTTAATTACATTTCGAAAAAAATTTGTTGTCCCTATTTATAATGTGTCCATTTTCCGCAGTAAATATAAATAAATCTACCTGATTATACTTCATACTATTTACCTTCATTGTAAAGTTCCTATCTCAGATAAACATTCTAAATCTTATTAATTATCTCGTTTGGTGCCGTAATAAGAGTTTGTGTCGCCCGGGGCAGTGCTCATCTGTAAATCATGAAAACCATAACACATACATAATACATGAAAAATAAAACGAGATAAAATAGTAATGTGACGTGGAACGAGAATGCCCCCCCCCAATCCCCAAAACCTTTTTTCCCAATAAAACAAACATTGCGACTTAAGTGGACTGACCTACCCCCACCCCTTTTTTGTTCATACGGCAGAACATTTTTTGATGAAACAAGAAAAAACAAACAAAAATGTCATGTATTGAATTGTGTTACCTGAATTTGTCTGTTTTTATGAGGTGAGACTTTTGAGACACGACATCGTTAATTATAACTATTTTTTTTACATTAAAATATTGAAATTACAGTTGTTTCGTTGTGCATTTTTTTTTTAAAAACAATATTTTATTTGAATCGTATATTAAAAAATATTAACACAGGTAAAAACAATTTATATCTAACAAATTATCAAGGTCTGTTTGGGTGGATACTCGTTATATTTTTTACCTGAATTTGTTTCAAATATTTTTTTTAAAATATCAACTTTGTATCTTATCTCTATTCTGATATACAAGAGGGACAACAAGAAAGTTTTAGCCTTAATTTATTTTCACTTAACATTGTGTAAAATGCATTATCAAATCAATTTTAATCACTTTGTGCCTACAAAATCAATGCGTCCCTTGCAATGTCTTACAAAACAGAACAATTCTTTCTTGTAAATACATGGAAATGACAAAACAACGTAATATCAATTTAGTTTTCTATTTCTGTCTCTAGTCACATATCATAGCATTTAAACTGAAAAAGCAAGGGGTCCATTGAAGTTTTTTTTTTTCAAAAAGAAAAAAAAAGGGGGGGGGGAGGATGTAAAACCAATTTTAAAGTTAAAATTTTAGTACCAAAAAGTCTTTTAGTCAAAGGCGAGTTTAAACGCAATAAAAATTAAAATATAATTTTACATTTCTTAAAATGCTTTTCGAAAAAAAAAAAATAATTTGAAAAAAAATAAAAAAAAAAAAAAAGGGGGGGGGGAGGATGTAAAACCAATTTTAAAGTTAAAATTTTAGTACCAAAAAGTCTTTTAGTCAAAGGCGAGTTTAAACGCACTAAAAATTAGAATATAATTTTACATTTCTTAAAATGCTTTTCGCAAAAAAAAAAATAATTTGAAAAAAAAAATAATAATAATAATAAATTAAAAAATAAATTAAAAAATAAATTGTGCAGAAAATTTTGTTACAAATTATTAAAAACAAAACATTTAATTTTCGTCTACTCGGACTTTATTCGCATAATCCATTTTAAGATGTTTAACATGATTTCCTACCCCCCTTTTTAATGCGTTTAAACTCGTTTAAGGTATTTTTATTTAGAAAGTTTCAAAATAAAAATTAACGTGTGACTAGATGACCAAAGATCGCTTCACTTGAAACGTGATAAGCCTACTAAAATTACCGGACTATTCCACGCGAGTGAGTGATTTGTGCTAGGAAAATCTCCCAAAACTATATTTGATTATAAATTCTGACAGTTCAAATGATAGAATTCTATTAAGTTACACTCAACTACTCGTAAAGGTTATCGTGAATGATTGGTTCATGTTCCATGAAAAATACATTGACGTATTCAGCAGTGTTGTTTTGTTGTTTTTTTTTTACTTGTTAATCTGAACAAGATAACAGCTGTCCCAAATAAGTTAAATAGCAACATTATGTTTCTATAAAAAGATATTATTCCTTTGAGATTGACCAATGCATTGACTTCATCAATTAATATTTTAGCAAAAAATACAGTTATTTTATATCTAATGTGTCATGTATAACCTTTAAGCAGTTTAAGTGCTGAATTCGAAAAAAACTGATTTTAAATATTTTGACGACCAATTTTTTGTTCAAGGAAAAAACAATAAGAAAAGGAAAGAATTACGTTTGTAAGCAGGGTTTCTTTCAGGCATACTTTCGGGGTAGGGGGGGGGGAGAGCCCCAGAGCAAGTCAAGTGCCACCCGGGGAAAAATGTGTAAATAAATGATAATTTTTTAATTTAAAAAAAAATACCGGCGCTCAGTTTTATTTGTTATAACATTTTTTTTTAAGTAATAGAAGAATGTGCGCCATTCATGGATTACAATTAATGGAACAAATAAAATATCGCTGTATTCGATATATATTGAGGATCAGCATTGATCAGGTTAATCTTGTTACAGGCTGATATAAATTGATTATAAACATCGTATTATTTTGAAAATTGGCCGCTCCTGATCAAAATCCAAATTCTACTTTTTCCTTTCGCATTTATTGGCATTTTTATTTATTTATATTTTTCTGTTTCACAAGTTGAAAGACTTAAATAACACTGTATTAAACTAACTTTACATAGATATAAAGGTCTATACATTGAAAATAGTTGTTGCTAAGTATTAAGCATGTGCAGTATGTTTTCAAATTACATTTCATCATAAAAGCATGACTATTTTAGTATAGATAAGTGTTAATGATAAAATGTATAATAATAGTAATCATGCTTTTAAATATTCGTTTTTATAATAAATTTTAATGTTTTCGATTCCATCCATGTACATTGAGATAAGATAAAATGAGTCTTTAAAAAATATGATATTTTAAAACAAAAATGAAAAATTTAACGTTTGCCTACAAATACTTGATGGTTCAGCAATTATTATTAAAACGAGTGCGTTTCTAATTTTGTAACACAGTTTCGGGAATAGCATTGTAAATTGACGTTTTTGTTGTGGTTTTTTTTTTTTTTTTTTTTTTTTTTTTTTTTTTTTTTTTTTTTTTTTTTTATATTTTTTTTTTTTTTTAA